TACAGCTGAAGGCCTTTTCCATGAGTTTGAGCTCTTGCGTCCCTGGTGATAATGACATGCCAGCCCGCGTTAGAAATATTAGCTGGGTCTGGTGGGTCTCTGGAAGTATGTAAAGCATTCTGTAATCCAAATGGGCTGGATCACTTTTATCCAACGCTAAACGTTGAAAGCATTCTGTAATCCAAATGGGCTAGATCGTTTTTATCCGATGCTAAACGTTCCAGTTACGGAGGTTTCTCACACTGCTTTCTCAAGGCCATCCCATCATTTAGGCACATTAATTAGGTTTAGTAACGGCCCATTGAAGTAGAAATTATTGACAGTGCAGTTTCGCTGGTGGGAGAGGAAGTCACAGAGGAGCTGGGCATCTCGTTTGGGTTTAAATGGAGCAGAAAAGGCTCCGTATGGTGCCAATTGCGCCTGTGGTTAGTCAGCCCCAGCCCTGACGTTCATCCCTCCTGTAGCATCTGCAGCATCAGGGGACTTGCTTGCACCGTGGTGCTCCAAAGGGTTTGAGCTACAGCTCCCTTTCTGCTCAGCAAGCGGAAGGCGCGGTGATGGGCCCGTCGTGCCCAGGCAGCCCGCGGGATGCTGCGGTGCGTGGCACAGCAGCTGGTGTCGCTGAGTTCCCCTCCAGACCTCAGCAAGGCAGGCTTTCCTTTTTTGTGTTTCACAGCACCTGAAATGTTTGACCCCACCAAACCCACTGGATATTCCTTCGCCGTGGACTGGTGGTCATTGGGAATCACTGCCTACGAGCTGCTCCGGACCCGGGTACCGTGCGCGGCTCCCTCCCCTTCCCCAAAAAATCTTAGTGGCGGGGGCGACCGGGCTGGGACGCGCTCCAGGCGTTAGGGTTATGGCAGCATAGGAAGCAGGAGCCACACCTTCACCAGGGGTCTGGCGGTCTCAGCTGAGAGCTCAGAGGACCTGTCACGATACAGAATACGGTGCTGGATGCAGCACGCGCTGACGGTGCCCGTGAGCTGTCCTCGTGGCACCCGGAAGGGGCGCCCTGCAGCCCGACGTCCCACCCGGGGCTTGTAACCCTTTGGGGACATCAGTTTCTCAGCTGACTCGGTAGGTGGGAGAAATCCTGCTCCTTTTCACCAGCGTGAGCGGGGGGCGGAGAAGGGCCGCGCGTCTGATGGCAGCGCTGGGAATGCTCTCCCGGAGCACTGTAGGTATATAGAATCCTTTTGGCTCACCCTTAAGGTACAAATTCAGAAAAGGCCAAGTGAACACGAGGTAGCTGATGGCTCTGGCTTGCGGGTTTTGCCTCCTGTCTGCCCAAGCAGCCCATTGTCAGCGTTGCTGATGTTTTGTTCAGTCCACGCCAGCTGTGGTCACACCGGGAGGGGCTTTCAGTGGGAGCCCTGGGGAGTGAACAAAGAGGCTTTGCTGGAGCTGCTTCTCCCTAGGAAGGTTTCCCAAGGACTCCGAGGCAGCAGAAAGTGAAAGTGCTTTCCCTGTGGTGTTTTCGCAGAGGCCGTATCACATCCGCTCCAACACCTCCCCGAACGAAATGGCTCGCGTGTTCAGGACGGCGATGGTGATGTACCCTGCGGCTTGGTCCGCGGGCATGGTGTCGCTCATCAAAAAGGTGAGGGCAGTGTGGGGCTGGGGGGTGCGGGGAGAGCAGCCGAGTCCGGCCATCGTGCTCGGTGGCCTTTGCAGTAAGCTGTGCCCAGAGCTGGTGGTGGCGACCTCGCATGGTGCCGTCTGGTAAAGATCCAGCTGCCAACTTGGCAGCCGCACGGATGCAACACCAGCTAGCAGTGTGTGTGTGTGTGCCCCCCCCAAAACGGGCAGGGACACCTTCCATAGCCCAGGGTGCTCCAAGCCTCATCCAGCCTGGCCTTGGACACTTCCAGGGATGGGGCATCCACAGCTTCTCTGGGAACCTGTCCCAGTGCTCCCCACCCTCGGTGGGAAGAATTCCTTCCCGATGTCCCATCTCCATCTCCCTCTTTCCGTTTAAACCCGTTACCCCTTGTCCTGTCACTACAGGTTTATTTCCAGAGTTTTTCCTGTAACTTTGTCTCTCTGGAACGACAAAACTTGGAAGTTTGGCACACGGACACTCAGAGTCCGACAGCATCTCCCTGCCCAGGCGTCACCTGGTGTAACACAGACACACCTGCGTGTCCCTGATCCCACATCTCCGGGTCTCACTGTCAACTCTTCATCTGCCTCTCACTGCAGTTGCTTGAGCTGAACCCCGAGAAGCGTTTTTCACAGCTGAAGGACATCCAGGACTTCCCGTTCCTGTCAGACGTGAACTGGGATGCTGTTCTCCAGAAGAGGATAATGCCAGAATTCATTCCCTCGGTGAGGCAGTGTGATGGTAACAGGGTCCCGCTGTGCCCGGGTGTCACACACTGTGGTTTGCCCTCGTGCCTGGCACCACGTCATGGGAAGTTCTTACGGATTTCCACAGGAGCCTCGGATGTCGTAAGGGATGGGAAAGAGAGGTGGGGCAAAACTCCCCCTTGGGTGTAGTGAAGAGCGATGGGGGGGTGACTGCAAAGCGTGGCTGCCCCCAGGGGGATCTGCTCTGTTTACAATATTCCCAGAATTTCTGGATGTAGAATGGGCATGCTGGATACTCCAGACTGGGTGCTGGATACTCCAGACTGGGTGCTGGATGCTCCAGACTGGGTGCTGGATGCTGCACATGCTGACAGTGCCTGTGAGCCGCCCTCGTCAGACGGACAAACCCAGTGAACAGATATGGGATCGTCACCTGGATGTCACCCGGCACCTTGTGACAATTGTTTTCTCCCCGTAGCGACTCTCCCTGACAAGCCCATAGTTCACAATGAGGTAGAAATACAGTGGATCAGTGTTTCTGATCCCGATTTCCATGGATTAAAGCGGCACAGAGGTAACGCAGCCGCTGGGGCAGGTAACCCAAGGACCGGCGTGCAGCGTTGCTCCAGCTGTTCTTCAGCCAAACAAGCTGGGCTGAGCTACGACTGTCCGCAGCTGCGCGCGTTCCCCCCTCTGCTGCTGGTGGTCCCTCTGGTGGAAAACAACTCGTCTTGCTTTCGGACCAGTTCTGCAGGCGGCTGCGCTCCCGGCAGCACAGCCCCGACACCCGTCCCCGCGCGACACGGTGAGCCCAGGAAGAGCAACAGCCGGTCCTTGGCGGCGGCTGAGGGAGCTGGCGAGGCCGGTGAGCCATCCAGCGGGTGTCCTGGCTGCGTGTGCACCTGGAATTAGCTCATATTTTACAAAATTCAGCTCCCAGATGCCGTCCATTTGAGAGACTCTTCGAGACAGGCTCTGATGACCTAAGGCCACCTCTCTCCCCTCCAGAAAGGCAGACTGAACTGTGACCCGACCTTTGAACTGGAGGAAATGATCCTGGAATCCAAACCTCTTCACAAGAAAAAGAAGCGCTTGGCTAAGAGGGAGAAGGACAGCAGCAAGAGCAACTCCCCCCAGGTGAGAGCAGGCACGCACAGCACGGGG